GCGTGTATTTCTTTTGAATAGAAGAATCCATTTCTGAACAGATCGGGACAAAATTTTGCACATACGTCGAGAGGGCGGGGTGATGAACTTTTAGCTTCGATCGATACCGATTTAACCAATTTACAAAGTCTGATTATGGAAACGGAGATGGGACGAGGAGGGAGGGGGGGGGGGGGGGAGTAAGGGCCGCATGCACTAACATTCCCGCTGGGGAGGGGATTGCAGCTCAAAAGAAAGCTTCATATTCTGAAGCTCCAGATATCTGGATTTTACGCTGTCTACCTGTCGGTAAGTATTCCTACTATCCTTCACTATGAACACGTTGAGCAGGAGCGAGAAGCTGTACGAACCGCATTTTCCAGCTTCTGTATAATCCCTGATGATCCCCGGCGCTTTTCTTTGAAGTCATTTTTCTTTCTCCGAAGTTAACGAAAACCTTCCAAAGTTGTACTGAACATCTAACACAACAGTGCTAAGCATGTTGCTGATGAGAACAAATGGACTTCTAAGAAATCGAATTTTTCGGTAAACCCCAAATTTCGACCCGTGAATCATCGAAAATTTCATGACTTCAAAACATCATTTGTTCTTATCAGCAACATGCTTAGCACGTTGGGTTAGATAATCTGCACAACTTTGGAAGTTTTTCGTTAACTTCGGAGAAAGAAAAATGACTTTAAAGAAAAGCGCCGGGGATCATCAGGCATCATACAAAAGCTGGAAAATGCGGTCCGTACAGCTTCTCGCTCCTGTTCAACATGTTCATAGTGAAGGATAGTAGGAATACTTACGGATAGGTACACAACGTGAAATCCAGGTATCTGGAGTTTCGAAATATTAAGCTTTCTTTTAAGCTGCGATCTCCTCCCCGCGGCATTGTTAGTGCATGCGGCCCTAAGAGAGCATGCTGTTCACGAATATGATACCGTTGGCAAAAATCTCCTTCTCATCGAGTTTGTGCGCCGGGTAGGTGAACATAGTAACCAAAGTGCATTTTTTGGGAGAAGAGGACAAAAATTGGTGTGTAGATGTGGTACGAGCGCTAAGTTTTGTCATAGCATATAATTCCGGAAGAAGCCAGTACGCCAGCCAGCGCATGTACAATCTCGACTTATGGACGAATTCTTTAAACTGCCAATGATTGAGTAAGCTATCAACAGCGAGAAAATTTATCGGCAAGAGTCATTCGTGCTAGATGCAAGATTCTCGTTGGCTACCTCTTATATTGCAATAGGATCTGAATGAAAACCTCAACATAAAGAAAGATTGTTGCATATCTTCACTGATTCTTATTTCCTTTCTTTATACTTCCATACTTCGCATTTTTCTTTTTTTTCAAAAGTATTAAGTAGTAAAGTAGTAAAGTTCTTGGGCATTAGAGCAAACGATGCTCTCTTAGCGGAGTCCATGTTGAAAGCTTTGTCCGATTAAAGTTGTTCTGTCGGTAAGGGAGCAAGTCATGATCCAAGATCACTATAATAAACCTTATAATGACCTCTTCCCCAAACTCAAGCAAAGATTGGCTGGCTCAATATATTCCAAGTCTAGCAACATCTGAAAAACACTTACTTTATCGACGATGATTCTATCAGCGCTCAAACTGCAGCTGACCCAATAAGACCATTCTGAGAACTTTCGCCTCTTCACTTAACTTCAACATATTCCACTAAATAAAGTGACAATCCAAGGTGAAACCAATTACAATCAAATGCGTCTCCGTTGCAATAGTTTTTGGTGAAGCCTATTCCACTCTTCATCCTTCCGTTATGACATCCTCTGTCCTCCACTCCCAAAGACAAGATTTTTGTTCCACAAGTCCAGATCGTTTCGCGAAACATGATCTTCATTTCCTCGTTGTCAGCTAAACTGCTCTCTAAATAAAAAGATTGTAAAAGTTGACTTAAATGATAACTAGGCGATTAAGATAAGATAAAGTCCCGGTAGATAGGTGACTGAATGGAAACAATGAGACAATTGTGTATGATGAGTATTATATGAACCAGTGCGCCACCTCTGCTTCGCAGAGGTTCGCACTGGCTCTACTATCTATATGCCTTTCTCATTCTCGTAAAATCGTGGCACTGGAACTCGCTACGCCGACTACCACGACTAAAATGTAAACAACTCCTCATTTAGAAAGCTTTTTCACGTGAGATTAGTGATTTCGTGTGGATGAAACTTTTCGCAGAAAGAAAAACGCAAATTTGAATAGGTTGCTAAATTTGTCATGGCTTGGTAGTTTGCCATAAAGGCAATAGTGACCGTGCTCTACATCTCCGTATGAAAATTTTCTCAAATGCTTGAGTAGAACCTTAGCAAATTCACCATTTACGCAGCCAATTATTTTTGGCGCCGTTTTCGTTATGTAGTAAACTTTTGACCACTTTTCGGGCTAAATTCCAGCGCTTGCACATTTGCTTACCAAACGCATCCACCACTTTGCAAAAAGTGGTGATAAGGACCCAATTTTGCGGGATAGAAGCCAGGTGGATCCTTTGGCGCACAATTTTTGAGGGATCCACTCAACGAATCTACTTTTGCATATTGGGCTTTCATGAAGGTAGCACGCGCTATGCACAATTTGAGCTCAGGACGTTGGCTGGAAACTGCTCTACGAATTTCGTAACAGACACACTCACACACACACACACACACACACACACACACACACACACACACACACACACACACACACACACACACACACACACACACACACACACACACACACACACACACACACACACACACACACACACACACACACACACACACACACAAAAACACGTAAACACCCTTAGCCCGTTATTATAAGTAATGAATGTTGTACAACAAAAGCAGTACTGCATAACACGCTTCCCTTGTCTCCTCATCCGCTTTATCTGCTTTAAAACAAGACTCGGCATCATTAAGGGCATGTTTTGACATTTGGTCTCAAGCGGATTGGATGAAAAACATGAGTATGATTCATAGTGGATGACGAAAGCGTCGGCTTTAAAAAGTCGTCGATAGGGAACAAAGACAACCGAGAAGAAATTTATGTCACAAACCAACCGATTGCGAAATGCAGAACACCTTGTGTAAACTAAATTCAGAGACATGCTGATGTGGGTAAAAGCATATGGTCCGGATAAAAAATATTCAAAAATGCGCTGCAAAAACACATCTCAATAAACAAAGCGAAGCACACCGGAAAGACTTGAGCGCACTCATTTTGTGAAAGTAAATTATTCACTCAGAATTGTTCAGAAAATATAGATCGCATTAGAGGAACTGGGCACCGAGCATAGCAATCCAATTCACGCAACCACATAATGACTACAATGAATATAAAGGTGATGTAAATATGAGACACGAACAGCACATAAAGAAGCAGAAAAGTGGAAGATGAAAAGGCGGATATATCGGAGTGAGGAAAAATGAAAGTCTGACGAATTCCTCTTCCATGAAACAAAAGTAGTCAACGGCGAGGCGATTAACGGCCGCTGACGGCGGCTATAAACGGCTAGCGGCGGCTGCCGGCGCGGTTTGAAGGGAACACTGCGCAACATATAACGTACTCGTAACGTATACATACTCGCGACCCCGGATCGCTGTAATTGGGTCCGGGCAGATACATTAGTATTTGCTTAGTTGGGACTACATCTACCTATTAATAGCGTTCACATCTCCCTTTTAGAAAAGCTTAATAAACGAAAAATCAAACTTCGAAAATAGAGGCAAAATAAAACATATCTGTTCCTTCCTTCCAATACTAGCACCAGAATTCAGTTATTCAATACAGCTCGATTCTTTTGTTGCTTAGCTAAAATCAACATAATCGCCTCCAAACAAGGCTGACCGAAACGGATGCATGCTGAGTCTTCACCGGGAGCAAGCGCAAGATAAAGAACTCTAAATCAAAAACGATTGGACTTGGAAATCAAAAAATAGAGGAAAAGTCTCACGGTTTGAAAGCAAAAGCTGAGGTGTTTAGAGGCTGTGGGCAAAGCGGCGTAAATTATGTCGAAATCGGGGTTTTCACCGTTTTTCATTAAATTGTGGGGGAAAACAAAACTTTTTGCTCCAAAAACTGATCAGCCACAGAAAGAGCCTGCCGAAGCTAAACCAGCGGGACCACAGCTTCCAAGCTGGATCTTCAATGCATGAGCAAAGGCATTTTCTGTGGCTTAAATTCTGTCGAAATCGAGATTTTCACCGTTTTTCATGAAAATTGTGGGGGAAAACAAAGTTTTTCGTTCCGAACCTGATCAGCCACAGAGGGAGAATCCGAAGCACAAGCGAGGGATACAAATCAAAAGAATTACTCGAGTTTTGCATTTTTCTAGCAGGGTCTCTAAAAAATGCTCAAAGACGACAGGACGGACCCAGAAATTTTGGACATATCCCTTACACCTTGTGGACCTCTGACTGTAATGGCAGAACTGTAAGGCGTGTAAGGCACTTTCTCGATGACTTTTTTGGATTATTTCCAGTTTTCTCAATAAAAGATATTTATTGATAGTTTGGCAATCATTTTGTTAATTGCTGTTCGCCTGTTGCTTTTCTTTTTTAAAATAAATCTCAGCGAAGATTAACAGAAAAAACAACATTTCCTTTCATTTCATGGAATTTATTGTCTTTTTCTCTCCAAAAATAGATTTTTAGGTCTGGAAAAAAGCAATGAAATTTTAGATCTTAAGAAAAAAAAGGAATTTAACACTCCATGTGGTCAAAGTCAGTTAAACAATACTACAAGTCAAGTGAATGAGGACTCATAACTGCTGCATGAACTATCAGACAAAGCATTGTTATGCCATTCTCCTAATGCGTTTCGCGATTAATTGTAAAGATAATGTCCTCAAATGATTCAAAAACCGGATTTGCGGTTCCAAAGGGACAACGCATTGGCTAATATATAAACCAATTGTGAGAACCTCTACTCACATCATTTCCTCAGACGATAACTTTGAAAAGCTCTCTACAATTACATTAGTTTATTTGTTATAATTTTTCAGAAAATGGGTTCCGTGCTCCACTACGCCGTCAGCTGTTCTCTAGCTGGCACTGTCGTAGCACTTTGTGCCACTTACGTTGCCATCTTCAATGTCATAGACGACATTAACGAATTTCAGAATGAAATTGAAAAGGACCTGGATCAATTTAAGGTTGTTTAGTTTTTTTTTTCAAGGTGCAAATTTCTTTGTCACAATTAGCTTTCTATTTGACAGAACTTTGCTGACGATGCTTGGAAAACAATAATGAGCACCCAACCGCCTAGAGAGAAGCGAGCCGCGAAAACGAAGAGGGGATCGCATTCAAAGAGAGCTTCGTATTCGGAAGGACCCTGGAGCGGAAGTGATGCGGCACCTGTAGAAGGCGGCAGTAATGGATGTCAATGTGCTGCCCAGGCTACTGGATGTCCACCTGGTCCACCAGGTATGCTAGCAGATTAGAATTCAAGCAGAACGCGAACGTGGCGTTATTCCAGGACCACCTGGACAGCCTGGGTTGCCTGGGGAGGATGGTGCTCCGGGAATTCCAGGAGGCAGCGGCTCAGCTGGGCAAGCGGCGCAAATGGCAGGTTCGATGGGATGCATCACTTGCCCAGTCGGTCCACCCGGTCCACCAGGACCAGATGGACCACCAGGACCAGCTGGACCAAGTGGAAATCCGGGTATGGACGGACAAGGTGGAGAAGGAGGTACGTTTCGCAAATGTTTTTCGCAAATGACTATTTCTCAAGAATCTAGTTTCTAGGTGCCCCTGGACCAGCTGGAGCTCCCGGCGCACCAGGAATGGATGGCAAACCTGGAATGCCCGGAATGGATGGAGCACCCGGAAATCCAGGTAGTCTATCTTTTTCAAGATGAATAACAATAATACACTAGCCCCCTACTCAAGGGACTCGATCAATGAGCATGCCGGGACCTATGGGTCCACCGGGACCACCAGGAGCATCCGGTATGCCAGGAATGGATGGTGATCATACAGGAGTGGGGGCACCTGGACCTGCAGGACCACCTGGGCCACCCGGACAATCCGGAGCACCTGGAATGGCTGGGAGTGCGGGACAGGCTGGAGCCAGTGGAGTACCAGGACATGATGGAGCATATTGTCCTTGCCCTCCTAGAACTGGTTCTGGATTTGGCGGAGCCGTCGGTGGAGGTGGCCAGTCCTATACTCCATACAAGAGGAGGGCGCGTCTATGATGAATGGTTGTTGTGTACTCAATAAACACTCCAAGCAAACTATCTTATATAGACACTAGCTGGCTTACCCGGCTCCGCCGTATGTTCCGATTAGAAAATTCCATTTCTTAACCGATCCGGACCAAACTTGGCACACATACCCTTCGGGCCCCGGCGGGTGTCACAGTCCACTTTTCGTTATCGATCGATGTCGATTTTATCGATTTTTTGCAAAATTTGAGCTACGGGGCTGGGAGTTGGCAGAGGGGTGTAATCGAGCATGCCGATCACGAATACAATATTAGTTTTCGAAACCGTGCATTACTTTTATCGATTTTATCGATTTTTTGCAAAATTTGAGCTAGGGGGCTGGAATTTGGCAGAGGGGTGTAATCGAGCATGCTGTTCACCCCCACGGTGGTGATCAGCACGCTCGATTACCCCCCTGTGCCAAATCCCAGCCCCGTAGCTCAAACTTTGCAAAAAAATCGATAAAATCGATAAAAGTAATGCACGATTTCAAAAACTAATATTGTATTCGGAATCCCCATGCTCACTTACCCCCCTGTGCCAACTCCCAGCCCCGTAGCTCAAATTTTGCAAAAAATCGATAAAATCGATATCGATCGATACGAAAAGTAGCCTATGACACCCGCCGGGGCCCGAAGTGTATGTGTACCAAGTTTGGTCCCGATCGGTTCAGAAATGGAATTTTCTATTCGGAACATACGTACATACATACAGACATACAGACATACAGACATACAGACAAACAGACATTCAGCTTTATATATAAGATACCACTTTAGTGAATCGCGAAAAGCTTTTCTTCAACAAAGATGAAAAGGTCACATCAATTGCTCAAGTTACCACCACCGACACTGATTAGTCGCCAAATTAGGCATAATCAAGTGAATGAAGAAACCCGAGTATTCCTTTTTTGGGGATGTTTAAAATAATATCTTTTTAGTAATTCAAAGTAAATAATTGAGCGGATGATCATTTCTGCTGAGATGCATTACAACTGACTACGATGATGTTCGGAAATACTTCCTTTAGTAGCATGTGACAGCACATCAGAATATGCAAATTTCGAGTGCAAATCTTGAAGGTAGCTGAACTGTCAAAATCACCTTATAAAAGCACGGTTCTCAACAAATTAGGAAGGTGAAGAAGGCCAAATGTGTTCCGGTTGGCTGTTGCATTTGAGATGGCCCTCATTTCAACTGACTTACCTCCAAAGCAATGAGCACCTGCTAGCGTCGAAAGAGTGGCCTTCTCTTTCTTCGGACTGGTGATAATTCGGCCGAATCTCGCGATAATCTCGCGTTTTTAGGATGGGTTGATACTGGTTCCCATTTTCTCATCACAAGGAGAAGCGGGCAGAAGAAAAAACGGAGAAGCAACGACATGGAAAAAAGAAAGGGGCTTAGAATGCCCAAAAACGAAACTTATCAGATAACAAGAAAAAAGTCCCAGTTTATGCAATTTCGAAATCGCTCCCACTCCCTAATTTATGGCAGATGGCTATGGAAACTACGCAGCGGCTTCCTGGAACAAATGGAATAGGTTTGCGTAAAATCAAGCGAAGTGAAAATGGACGAGCATAAGGACGCAAGTTTTATCGCATACGCAGAGCAGAAAGCGCTCATTCCTCAATCCCGCATCGAGTGAAGTTCTGCTGATCAAGAAGGGAAGCGGGGTAGAGGAATAAGGCCAAAATGAGAGAAATTTGGAAGAAAAATCGTTAAAAACGGTCAAAATTCTCCAACTCCCGCCGTTCAAAACGCGTGTGGGGCGGCGGCACGGTGGCATGCAGCACGGTTCCAGAACAGAGGTGCGATAGTCGGAGCCGAGTCTTCGCCTACCTTCACTTTTGAGCTGGTACAGGGTGACCCTTCAATTTTGGGTTTGAGAATTTTTTTTGCTGATTAAAAGAAGGAAAATAAACAAAAAGAACGCAAAAAAAATATTGAGAGCATATGTCTATGTATTAGGTCGATCTAGGCAGTAACCGCCGAGAACCACAATTTCGATTGATAAAATAACGTAAAATCATGAGAAATTCCCACTGTCATAAATCTGGTGGTTGAAGATGTCAGCCAATGCGACTTCATAGGTTTTGTGGAGTAAGGTTTGCCCTATCAAACTCTGTTTCAGCCGTACCGATTCATTAAGATACCGCCGAGATTCAGGCTCTTAAAAAAACAGGCAAAAATCCCTGGAGGCCGCCAGTGGAGATTTTGTGATGGAAAGTCTCCACCCCCGCGCTTACGCTGTGAAAGGCGCGAAACCCCACATGTTATACATAATCTGAAAGCACTTGAAGAGGAGAATCCAACCTGTGAAGTCGCAACATGATTCATGCAATTCTGGAGAAGTTATGAGCTGTTGAAATTCAAAAAGCGGTTTTTACCTGTTCTTTAAGAGCCTGAATCTCGGCGGTATCTCAATGGATCGGTAGGTCTAAAACAGAGTCTGATAGGGCAATCTTTACTCTATAAAAGCTTCTAAGTCGCAACATTGTACACCTTCACATTCCAGATTTATAGGAGTCTAAAGGTCAGCTGTCACTAAGTAACCTAAAATCGCTTAATTTTCAATATTCTCGTTCTCGGCGGCCACTAATCAAATCGACCTAATTCTTTTATATCTGGTAGAAAAACACCTGCCCTCCAAATCCTCTGAAGTCGCATTTGCTGACATCTTCAACCACCAGATTTATGACAGTGGAAATTTCTCATGATTTTACGTTATTTTATCATTCGAACTTCTAGTTCTCGGTGGTTACGGCCTAGAGCGACCTACTACATAGATATATGCTCTCAATACTTTTTTTGCGTTCCTTTTGCTTATTTTCCTTCTTTTAATCAGCAAGAAAATTTTTCAAACCCAAATGTGAAGGTGGTCACCATGTACCAGCTCAAAAGTGAAGGTAGGCGGAGACTCTGCTCCGACTATCGAACCTCTGGGCGCAATATCTTTGGGCGCGAACGCGGTTTTATTAGCCGCAGAGCGTAGGAGGTGCAGAATTTACAACGTGAGAATATGCGCGCCGCGTTCGCGCCCGCTCAACTAATACTGCTATTGCGACTTCGTCATGCAGTAGCCTTTGCTTTGGTACATCGTGTAGCGAGGGGACCAAAACAACAAGTGACTATGCCGTAGCTCTGACAGCAAGCAATTAGATAACATCCTTGCAACTATGAAAAATACTTTCTGATTAGTAAAGGGTAAAAACCAGACATTTTTTGCAATCTGAAGCAAATTGAATGATATCAGATACGAATAAACGTCTCAAGTAATTGAAAAAAGTTTTCCTAAGGCTTTTCCCAGCTTATCTTCAATGCCTTCCTGGTCCCTACGTGATTATGCAATCCTTAGACAAACAGTGCGCATCAAAATTGAGCGCTCTAAATGGGTCAGCATCGTCTGGATGATACGGCTATTTGGGACGAACAATTGCACTATAGCGCTAAATTTTTACCCGTCCGGTTGGAGATTTATTTCACCACGTGCAGTACCGCAGCTGAAAATTTTTCCAAGGTAACAGTTGTTTGTCACAAAACAAATGCAGCTGTGTTCGACTGCATTTCTCTATTGCTTACTGTTTATCTCAGTGCTTACGAAGAACTTTCATCTAACCTGCTATTACAAGTGGGTAAATTTCGATTTATCATTACTTCTTGAAGATAAGTATATTTTGCTGTTCTTTGTTTTTTAACTGGGACAAACCCCCACTCAAGGATGTTGATGTGTCACTGTGTACCCACATTATACTGATAGGACAGCTGACTCTTGATAACATTGGTTATTTACAAGTACCAGCAGATGAAATCTCGCAGGTGAGTCGCTCACTTGGTTTGTTTTTGATTTCAACAAATTTTATGCATGTTTCAGCCAAAGTGATTTGATTTATTTGGCTCAGGTTTTTCTTCCTTGCGTGACTTTGGTCCGTTTGAGAAAACGACAAGTCAAGACAGTGAAATTGGAAGTTGTCTAAAAAACGTTTCGCTTTTTTTTCTTTTTTGCCCTTTTTTTCGCAAGCGCCACAGTCCGCGAAACAAAAATTCGTAATAGGTATTGGCAGCAGTTGATGCAGTTTTTAATGCTCTTGTTTTAATCGTCGCAGTTTGACCACGAGCTGTCAGAAAATTGCCAAAAAAGTATGGTTTTTTGACATGGTCAAGTTTCGCTATCGTTTTAAATTTGTGTACTCTTAGAGAAAGTCCAAGTAACATTTGGATAGAACAAACCCTACGGGATAAAAACAATTTTTTCCTTTACATAGCTCTTTTTCAAAGTTTTTCAAACTATTTCTTTTGATATTACGAATTCATATTATATCTCATATAATTCATAATTCATATTACATTTCATTCATTTTTATGAACCCAAACCTCCAGCTTGAGTGTCGTTCGGTGCAGCTTCTCCTCCTCTCTTAGGAGTTTTTTTTTCTTCTGAGTAAAGGTGCTTGGAGATAAAATCAACATATTTCTAGCCTTAAAATTGGAGATTCAATATTTCAAGTCTATAAGCGATCAATTGCTTTGTTAGATTAGTGTTGATTCATACTCTATAATTAGAAGTTTAAAGAGGGTCATTGGTTTTTAATACGTTTATGTTTGATATAGGTCTGTTAAAATCCAATGGTTTTAATAAGAATTCTATCACAATTCATGACAAGCTAGGGAAAGAAGGATTGTTTTGTTTCCTTATAGATTGCTTTATCCATCCTCTCATTTGCTTTATCCATCCTCTCACTTCTCTCATTCTTCTCAATATTAGTAAAACTTGAAAATGAAAAAAAAACAAGGGTCGTAGTTTTTGATAATTTCTGAGAGTTTGTTGGATAGACTCCCTCGAGGATGAAACCTATCGAAAAGAGTATGAAAAACTGTATGCTATCGTTAGCCTTCATGGATTTTTGTTCCACATTGTTCAAACCAAGCGCGATTATTTTCGGGGCGACCTAATAGGAATGATGGAGCCAAATTTCTTCAAGGGCTATTTTTGTCGGGTAAATACATTTCATAATAAGCGAAATCCAACTACTTTACTCAATCTGTTCCATCTCGCTCCTTTCTGTCAAGTTTCTCAGCAGCATCAATGTATCTTCAAATCTTAAGTAGTTTTTAAAATAATGATTTTAAAAGCTTGATTTTTTAAGGGATTTTCCTTGCTAAAAAAGCGACGCAATGATCTCAAGCTGTTGATGTGCCTAACTGGCCCCAATAATGCTTTCACGACTCTGGTAAGTCTTCAAGCATACTTGCCTTAATCACAAAATCTTTTTAGGTATCACTACCTGATACCATCTCCGCCTTTGCAAATGATTCTTACACTTACCTGAAAAAATTCGGTTTTGATGGAATTGATATTGATTGGGAATTTCCCACTTGGAGTGGAGATGCTCGTCCGAGTGACAGAGTGAAATTTCCTTTATTACTGAAAGCACTCCGACAAAAATATGGAAAAGAATTGCTTATAACGTTGGCGGTAGCTGGACCACCAACAATCACCAAGGTTGCCTATGATGTTCCGTCGTTCAACAGGTAGGTTGGCTTGGTATAATTTTTAGCTTTTATTTTCGTTATTTTCTTGTATCTAGGTACGTCGATCTAGTGCAAGTAATGAATTATGATTTTCACATCTTCTCGTACCTGGACCCGGTGGTTGGATTCAATGCACCACTAAGGAAACTCAGGACCGAGATCGGTGTAATCGGAGAAATGAATTCGGTGATTCATAGTTTACGATTTTAGGACAATAATTTATTCCGGATTACTATTTGCTTGCTTATTCAACTGAATCTCTACTTACTGATTATAAAAGATCGAGAAAATCGAGATCAAGACTATTAAGCATTTATTGGCTTTTTCATTGATAAGTTATCAGTTTTTATATATATTTTAGGAGGCTGCTATGAAAACATATTTCAAAATGGGACTTTGGAGAAACAAAACGGTAAGATTAGTGTTCGTTTTTTTATTTGTATTATTCTCCTTTCCCTCCTAACCATTTTTTTACCAATGTCACCAAGTAAGAAATAGGAGAAATATAAATTCACTATGAATGTTTTCGAGGTGTTCGGTATCCCAACGTACGGTAGAGGATATCGCTTATTTAATTGGAGGATCAATAAGCCTTACTCACTCGCTTTAGGCCCAGTAAACGACTACGCAAACTTTGAAGACGTGAGTTACTGGTGTTACCATTACCTAAATAGCAACTCAGTCCATAAATTCAGCTGTGCATACTCCTAAAAGATCAAGAACGATACAAATACGTGTGGAATGATAGAGCTGCCTCACCCTACATTTACGGTAATTTTTTCAATATACATCTTAATTTTTTATCACCAACTGAGCTTTACCGGTCACGGGGCGAGAGAGTACAGGCCTTGAGAGCACTGGAAATCATGTACAATTTTCTCCTTATTCATTTGATGGAGTTTATCATGTAAGCACAAAAACAACTCATGATACGTATTTCAAAACTTATATCAGAAAATATTGAGCACTTTACTGAGAAGAGCTAGATTCTTTATAAGCATATCCTTCATGGCGGATCTTTTTATCGTCATCAGAGAATCGAGTAGCTGGATTATGATCAGCTTCACGAAAGCAATCGTCAATGGCTAAAAGGCTTCCGGAGTTCTTCTTTCCTATCTCGCAGAACTGATTTGGCCCGAGAATGCGCATGCTCGATCTGAGTTGAGTAGATTTGCTGATATGCATGACATCTAATAACCTACACAATTTTGGAGAAGGGCAATTTATTTACATGAATCATTCGAAAGTCAGAATTTTATATTTATCAAAAAAAATGTTAGTATGGAAACCCACCAAATGTTTTAGCTGTCTTAGGACAAGTCTTTTTTCAGGCTTCTATATCATTGAACAGTCTCAGGCCCTCAAACTGAAAGAATTCATTAACTAAGAAAATTTTTGCAACATTGAAATATCAAGCCAACTCTCTGTCATACCCCAAGATTAACTCAGCGCAACCAAAATCTATTTTTGAAACTCGCCGCTCCATTCTGTGCTACTTTTACTGTTACAAAACTCATGCTTGACCAACGACAAACTAGCTTACACAAAAGTTTTAATGTGTCCTTTTTTATTGTGAGATATTGCACCAACCTAAAAACTCTCATATGACATTTAGAAACTGAAGACATGTTTTAGCAAGAGCTGTGCTGGATTGTCCCGACATAGCTAATTCCCTACAACAAACCTTTCCATAAACCTTTGATTGTGTGACATTGAATTTTCAGCCTTCTTCGAGCGTTAGTTGTTGAGAATCAAGTTCAATATAAACCCGAAAAAGGGACATTTTTGAATTTTGGGCCTATCTAAGAAGAAATGCGGCAAGATGCACATATGAATGTTTGACGTGCATAGTATATGCCTGACTAAGTTGAAGGTTTGCAGGGTCTTTTCAGACGGAGAACTGATTTTTGAATATCAAAATACCTTACACAATTTTCTCACACTTTATGTAGATTGGTTTTGCGATTGCTTATCCATTATCTTGTAGAGTTTGCATTCCTTTATCAAACGATGTATTTTGTAAGCAGCCAGCCTTTACCAAGATTATTATAACGTTTATCAGGCTAAAGTTTCGGCTAACTGCCTTCGCCAGAGCGCGTAAGTGAATAACATACGAGATCTACTTGCTCAAATGTCTTACCATTTGCAGGAAAAAGACCATAAAAAACGATAACCTAGGTTGAACACATCTTGTTAGATTTGAAGTGGAGGCCTCCACCACCGAGTGCACGACATGAATGAGTGATCAACCTATATTATTACGTATTTCACACATTTGGCCTTTTTCCTGCAAATGACAAGACATTTCAGCAAGTAAATCTACCATCATCATAACTTGCATAGATGCTTTTAAATATCGCATTTAGCTCTCTGAATCAAATCGCTCGCAAAAAATATGAATATAAATACAAAACAATACAATATAATTAAAAAATATGAAACATGGCATAATTTAAAACGAAACAGTAAAGTAGAGCCACTTCGAGATCTGCTAGATGTAAGCGATAAACCGCGCACCTGAGTGAACACGGAATAAATCACATCACTATGAAACCTGAGCGTCAACCAAAAAAGAGAAGCAGAAAAAGGCAAAGCAGTTAAAGGCAGTGGATCGGCAGAATGAGTCCCGTGGCAAGACAAGGTCACAGGGTAGGAGCCTCCATAATGGAACCTATGGACTAAAGTCCGATCTTTCTCTGCCACTTCTAACCCCGAAATTTCAACGCGAAAGCAGTGATCATCTCCTCTCCTCTCCGAGCCCGCCCACCCCACGGATGAGTGAACGCGAAGCCCGCCATGGCGAAGACGCAGAGTCGTTGCGGGACCCTTATGCTTACAGCATTGCGCCTGCGCGCTCTGACCGTGGAGGTCACTCGTCCATGGGGTGGGCGGAGTCGGAGAGGAGAGGAGATGATCACTGCTTTCGCGTTGAAATTTCGGGGTTAGAAGTGGCAGAGAAAGATCGGACTTTAGTCGATAGGTTCCATTATGGGGGCTCCTACCCTGTGACCTTGTCTTGCCACGGACTCATTCTGCCGATCCACTGCTTTTGAAGGCAGCGTCCAGGCAGATCTGGACCTATGCGGCTTTTACATGGAATGTACTTTTGGGGCCCTAACTAAGGCACTGCCCAAGCGGCAGCTTAGGTATTGCTGTAATGGCTGAGATATTCCCCTCGAAACTGGACCCCGCGACCGTGTTTCGGATGGATTCATGGCGCAAAGCGTGGATCCTGGTGCGAAACTGCCATGAATCCATGCGAATACGTTCGCGGGGGCCAGTTTCGAGGGAATACCTCAGCCTTTAGAGCACTACCTGAGCTGCCGCTTGGGCAGTGCCTTAGTTAGGGCCCCAAAAGTATTAGGTTGTGTAATAAGTTCTGTCCCATTTTTTTCTTTCGATTTTTTCCCAATATTTTGCGCGATGTTATAAAAATTGTCTATATGCATTTGAAAGCTCTAAGCCTTCTCTACAAATACTTTCATTTCGATTTACTACATCAGATGACTTGAAAAAGTTTTACAGCGTTAAATTTGGAAAATCAAACAGGGAAAAGTCCATTTTCGACAACTGCGTTACGTCGCCTTCCTAATTAGTCAGAATGCCTGCGAATGAGCTCGAAGAATTAGCTACACGTAAGAAAAGAATGCTCTAGCTTCTATTGCGCTTCAGGAGTGCTGAAACTCTTTAAAAATCATTTCTGTAGCTTTAGAAAAGTCCTCTTTCTGATGCCTAAACAACGTTGGTGTTGGGCATCATCTGAAGGCATCCTGAGGGAAGAGATCATCCAGAAGAGACAGAACGGATGGTTTGTGGATCCAAAATTATCGAATTCGTAGCTTAAATACTCAAAATTCAAATTTTGAGAACCATACAGCTTGGGTACGCGAGACGGCGAACATCGCCGTGACATAGTCTTGCCCTGCCGACTTTCAAAAAAATGTCATCAAATAGCCGGTGGAAGGAATGAGACATGTGCGAACAGTGATAGAATAAGGGTAAAAGCATAATAGATTGTTTTCGTTGTTGTCAAGCTTGTTTAATAAGTTTTATCAATAAAAATCGAGAAAAATTTGGAGGAAAAAAGATGTCGAAAATTGATTTTTCGGCTCTTCGGATTTTTTGTTTCAATGATAAAAATCTTTTTCAGTTTCCTGCTATGCTGGGGAATGATGCATATGAGCCTGCAGAGCAGACCTGGAGCTTTCAAAAGCATATACACTTCGTCTCAAATATAGTCAATGTTATCAAGAAAAAATCAAAACAAAAAAGGGGACAGAACTTATTACACGACCTAACTTCCCACGTAAAAGCCCCATAGGTCCAGATCTGCCTGGACGCTGCTTTTAACTACGATAGCATATTTATTACCTTGTAGAGCTTGCTTTTCTTTATCGATTGGTGTATTTCATATATATTCATGTCTTCTCTGCAACTCCAGAACGAGAAATATGCACTGATTTTGCATCGACCTAAAAGGAAAGATCTTCAGGTGTTGACAAGCTGTGGGACAGTTTTGAGGATGTTCGTAGCGTGAAAACAAAAGCCCAATACGCGAAAAGCTTAGAAATAGCTGGCGTGATGGTGTATCACATTGGTAAGTGGGATTTCTTTGCTCCTTTAGTTTTTTTTAGATTTTGAGGAGAAAATTTCGAACATTCAGGATCTGACGATGCTTTTGGCACATGTGGCAACGGTACATATCCTTTGATTCGGGCCATCAAGGAAGAGATAAAATTGCTCAAATAATTATTGTATGTAAAGTTGAGATAAACACCTGTAATGAAGATATTATTATTGCAACATTATAATGGGACTGTGAGAACATTGAGGCAGGAAACTTTCGAATTTGATTTGATATTTAGGGCCTGTCAAAGTAGGTACTTTGATTTTGAAATGAAGTCCTATAGGGTCACAAAAACTTCTGTTCTTCTTTCGTTAAGGGAGAGGGCTCTTAATCAGTTCCAAGAACAACGATTGAGCGCTAAACAAAAGATCTTGGGCTGGAACAAAGATTAAACGAAAATTGTTGAATGACATTGGCATCAGCAATCGTTTGTATGTTATAAGCAAAACGTGGTTTCATAGTCGGCTCAAAAAACTTCATTGGCGCTATACTCCAATCGCAAAGCGCGCCCCTAGAACCGATGCACCAATCTTTCATTTTCGTCAAGCGCTAGTGCCCTTCCCCTTTATAGTTGTTTTTTCCCTTCTCGTTGTTGTCTATTTATTCGCTTGTCTCATTCGCAGAGTTATTTTGCAAAGGGGACGGGTAGGCAGAGAGCGAGAAAGACAGAGAGAGAAAGAGAGAGAGACTTTTTTGTTTTCTTCTTCCTGTCCTTCGTTCTGTTGGGCCACAATCCCACACAGAATAAAAGGCAAAAAGCCAAGTGGAGAGTAAGGAGCCCGAAAAAAGGAACAAAGGAAACTTTGTAGGAACTTCTCAAAAACAAAAAGGACTTCGTTTTTGAAATCTTGCTTATTCTAGCATGTAGCAGCTCTGATTGGATGATTGCTGTCAATAGGTATTCTACCCTTCTTTCGCTCTTCATTCTTGTCAGAAGTCTGCGAAAAAATTGTTTGCGCATAGGCCTCCTGTACCATCTATAAAAGAGTCTCGTAGTCTTTTCATGCTAAATCTAACATCACAAGTTAAATTTTGCAGCCTGTGAGGACCTACAAAGCGTAATCTATGCTCAATGACCATACAATCCAGCATTCACATGTGAAACAACAATTTTGGTAACCATGGAGTAAATGAGACTCTAGTAGGAAGGGCTGTTGCCTGTCATACAAGGAACCGCAAATCGCTCATATATCAAAATCAAGCTAAAATCAATTTTGAGAGCATCAAAATCCTTACAATGTATTAGGTTGTGACATAAATCTCGATAATCTCCAATTTCTTACTGCGGTAAGTCATACAGTTCACATTTTCATTAGGGATGCAGGGCACCTTTCGATAAAGCAAAGCAAGCTCTACAAGATATATGCAAAAGTTCGCGCCAGCTTCGATCCACTGTAAGTTTGCATCCGGAATGTGAGTCGTACTGAAGGCTCAAAACATAGGGGAAACTTCATATCTTCGCTCGAATAAATCTTACGGATCTCCAACTTGCTCACACAAATTCACAACATCAGACACTCATATTTACCGTTCCTGTATTTTTTCCTAATCTTGAAATCGAGAAAACGAAAATTTCTATAATTTTAATAATTGTTATGTTCATATAAAAACGAAGCTATGCTGCTTTCATTCATGTAATTGGATAATACAAGTTCCTAGAAGTATAACCGTAACTTGTCAGCTTTTCAAGCCCGCGTTTTCGAAAAATATTGACTTTAGCAAGGAACACCCGGGTGAGGAGAGCTAATTTCGGTAATTTTCGAAACTAGAACCTATGGAAAGCTGAAATTTACGATTATACTTCTAAGGGTTTGTAGTATACAATTACATGAGTGAAAACAGCATAGCTTCGTTTTTGCATAAGCATAAAAATTTTCGTTCTCATCACTAGACGAGCAAAAAATATAGGATTGGTACATTTGAGTGCCTGATGAAGTGTGTAATTTTTGTGAACAAGTTGGAGATCAGTAAAGTTTATTTAAACGAGAATATGAATTTTTCGCGATTTTTTTGGCCTTCAGAAGGACTCAGACTTTGGACGCAAACTTACGATGGATCGAAGTTGCTGCGACCATTTGCACACCATCTTGTAGAGCTTGTTTGTTCTATGGAATTCTGCCCTGGATCCCTATTGAAAATGAAGTGTACGACCTATCGCCGTAAGAAGTTAGAATGTTACAGCTTATATTATAACTCAATATAACAAACAGTCCTTTTGAGAGGAAATAGGCATATGATGGAAACAGGTTCCGTCATCAACTTTTCAAAAAAATGGTAGCAGAAAAAATTTCTGAGAAGACTTATCCGCTACTCCGCATGAGTCTTTCTGTTCGAGAGAAGTCATGCAGGAAATGCTGAAGAAACTTGGAGGTCTCTGAGTAAACAGAATCCTCTTTCCGTTCTTCGCGGATTGCCCGAGAGTGAATTTGATAGGAATGGACGTATTGGTAGTTTAATGAAACTCTTCAAGTTCTAGAACCATGCCTTTTCTGGATAGTGGATGGAACATACGTTTATACCATTTCGTATATTAGGAGATTAGTTTCCCTACAATCTCGCCATGATGCTTTCGAAAACGCTCAAACATAGTGAGAATGGAATTATCCTTAAGGTTGCTCCAAATTTGTCCTTCAGAGGTTAATTTTCATGCAAATGCTGTTAAGTAGTGCGATGGATGAACAGTGTATGAAAAGAAGCTTGATAAGCAAAAATCCTGCGTTTAGCATGAGTGATGGCCCTTTACATTGCAAGCAGAATTTTCAGTCACGTTTCCAATTTTATAGAGAAATTTGCTTGAAAATTGAAGAGATGAGATTAGAGTCTTGAACAACAACAGACAAATACATAGCTTCTTTCAAGTAAATGATGCAGCTCTTGTGGCTATGTACATACTGATTTGAGCCAATAAAGTGCGATGATTCCAACAATAAATAAATAATAGATTTATATGAAACGGTTGAACATAAACACTCGTAATTACAATATCACAGGTTTTTGCCTGACAATAAATCTACACTAACAAATAAGAAATGACATCAGTAATCAATCACAACAGGTTTCAATATGACATAAAGTTACGGTGTGAATGAGAACATTAAGACAGGAGAAATCCGTAAACCGGTAAATTAAAGGCACTATGACAAGACAGTTGAATAGCTCACAGAGGTAGAATGTTATTTAAAAATCAAGGAGAAAAATATATGTACCGGTCGCGCTGCGGCTATGATCGCAGGACCGTACGTCTAGGACAAATAATGAAGTGGGCGATTGTTTGAGACCTTACGAAATACTCGTATATGTGGGCAATCCACAAATCACCCCGGCAAATGAAATTAGGGCAGATTGAATGTGGATGCCGAGCTCTGGAAAAAAAAACTTTGGCTTAGTCGGTCTACAAGAATAATCCTAAAGCAGTTTCATTACTTTCTTGATTTACAAAGTTCATTTTATGAGCAGTTCATCCCGGCTTCTGCTTCGGTCTTCCCTCAACAAAAAACACTCCGGTAAATCGGAAAAATGCTTTTCCTCAAGAGCTAGCGCCACTGATCCTTCTAAGCTAACAAGAAAAAAGTTCCAGGTTCTACAAATTTAAGGAGCATAGGCACCAGTCCGCAGTTACGCCTACTTTTATCATTTTCTTCACTTAGCGGTGGTAAACTGATACCTTTCATAACTATAAGGCCCCCCCCCCTCCAACAAAAAAATTTTGGATTTTCGGGTTGCGCTGCTTTATCATGATGCTGCCTACGGCGGTCGGGGATGGAAAAAAGGGGAAAAGCTGGAGGGCAGCAATACACTTTCCAGTACTTTTTGGCATTGTGCGCTCTAGTTTTTAGTAAAAATCAAATTGGACTATAGTCGAAGTTTCGAGTGTCTTTAGTTATAAATGCACAAATGACCTACCTTGGTCTTGCGAGCTTTTTTTATGGAATAAAGTCAAGAAGCGGCGAAATCACACACTAGCATTCTCATCTTCAAAATCTATACGAGCTTGTATCCCCGATATTGAGACATTCAAGCAAACAGTGGAATTAACTATAGATTGTTGCAGAATCAATGAACGGCGCTCATCCTTGAGTGGCAGAAAAATGAAAATGTTTGAAATATATCATTCGATGGAGCAAAGCAAGATCTACAAAATGATGTTCAAACAATCTCAGAAAGCACGGGAAGTTAGGAAGAAAATTCTAAGAAATTTTCAAGTGCCCAAGTGTTGGAGCCCTGTTCAGAAAACCTACAAACCTTTCAACTTCTCACCAAATTTACTCGTAGCATCAGCTAAGCATATGCACACTTGCTGTATTTCTTCCATAGCTAGAAATCGAGGAAATGAACTTGGCACTAGCAAAATAATCGTTGGATTATCCCGACATGGCTATTTCGATATTACAAGCCTTTGGAAGTACAACAAGAAGCCTTTTAGCCTTTTTCGAGCTTTAGTTGTCGAGAATGTTAAATCTAATATAAAAACCTCAAAAGGGCGGCATTTTCGAATTTTTGTCCAATTTTTATTCTCAATCAAATGCTTGACCAAGTTGGGACTTCGCACAATCTTTTCAGACGGAAATTTAGATCTAATTTCGTAGAGCTTGCTTTGCTCCATTAAACAAAGTCTTTATACATATTTGTATCTTCTCTGCCACTTATGAATAAGGAATATGCATTACTTTTGCATCAACCTAATAGCTCTGGAGATTTTATATTCCATCTCCTTCGATAATATTCCCCACTTTCCTCAGAAATATGGGTCCAGACAAAGAAAGATCAATCTGTGAAGCCCCGTTACAGCTTGTTTCATGTTTGATCATCGCTGCTAGAGCAGAGAGCTTTGAACATTTGTATAATTACTATCCGAGTAGCTTCCTCTCATTCTAAACAGAGATAATTAACTCACTATAGATATCTGTTTGTGGTGCTTGACCGCTTCATCTCGCAGTAGCAGCCGTAATAAAGCATCGAAAGGAAACTCGAACTTGTTCTCGATCCTAGAAATAAATTTTCTGAATTAAAAACCTGTTTTGGTGAGAAATTGGAGAAATTTTTTACCTTCCAGGTACTACATCATCTTCTAACCATTCAACTATCCAAAATATCCACATGTCATACAGTACGGATTTTCTTCTTTCCATAAAAATGTCCACTTCACAAAATGCATGATATACCCTGTAAAAAAAATTATGCATGCAAATTTATGACGTCTGTTCCATTTCCCCACTGAGTCGATGATCGCAATGATGTATATGGAATGAACAAACAGCGCTTATTACCCGATTGCAAACGAATAAATTACGTTTACGATTGTCGTAAAGTATTCATGATTTCAAGTGTCAACAACTGAGAAAAAACATACCGAAAAACAAAATTTGACAGCCAATAGCCGATGACAATGTCAACGGTGTAGTGTGTACGAGAGATGATCATACAAGCCATGCCAAATCCAGCGAGGACATGTGGCACCCATTGCAACATCCGCCAACGATGCGGTAGGTAGTAGGCTATGCAGAGTGCACTTGTGATCTACAAATGGATAACGGTAGTGAGAAGGAGATTACGGTAAGAGAAAACAGGAACGAACCATGCTGAGAGTATGACCTGAAAACAGCATGTCCCCGCACAACATTCCGATCTTCTCCTGAAACGTAATCAAATAAAGGTAGGAAGGGAAGAATAAAATTAACCAACAAAATTTTCATGCACTTATTTTATAAATGCGCTTAGGACCTCAACATTTGCAATACAAATATTTCTTTTATGCAGCCTTTATGTGACATGTGATCATGACAAGAAATTTCAAAGTGTAGAAATTTTCATAGTTAATATTATTTACTGTTTTTTTATTTACTAATACCCTTGAATTGCACCGAAAAAAAAGAAAAAAGGAACTCATACTAATCAGTACCACCTACTCTCAAAACTTCGAAAGAATACGACACGGTAAAGTGAAATTTTAGATCAGAGCAAATGTAGATTACTAGAATATGGATTCAGAGTATCAGTTTGTCATTGCAGTTATAACGATGAAAATGAAAAAGATTACCCCTCGTCATTACCGGTTTGGTAACATTTTGGTAGCTGCTTGAGTTTGGAAGAAATAACGTGCAATCATACTGCAGATTTGTTAGATTTAAGATTTACTATTGAACTTGCTCTGGCATAAAGCAACTAACTCTATCTGCTTAATGTAGTTGTATGGTAGATTGTATGGCAGCTTAAATGCAGCCCTCCCCCCCCCTTAAGTCAGTGGTCGTTCTCAATGACTAACTTGAGGCTACTTTGAATTGATAGTGCTCGAAGAAGAACGTTTGAGATATAAGAATGAGAAAGCACTGACTTGCAGAATGTGAGCGCAACTCGTGGCAAATCCTCGAAGGGAAAGCTTGCATCAAGCGCGAGAAAATGGTCAAAAAATCAACTTCCTTATGTTCAATCCTTACTTTGTGGTGATGCTTCATTTTTAGCCCTTCGTATTCACTTTTTATTCTTCTTCATCAAGTCATTACACTTTTGTACTCGGACCTCTTACAAAATTTTGGCAAGCCAAAAAAAAGAATGAACTTTACTTGAGTTCAGATGACAGTATGAGAACATAAACGTGTGTCTACCTTTTTGCTACCTATGCAACTATCGTAATAAGTGAAGCTATACTCAAATGTGACCACATTTACTGCATCCGATGGCCAATTATAAGCTTCTTCTGATAATTTTAGGTTGCAAAAGTAGCAAGTTCAAAACATCTGCTAGACTTGCACTTTGGCTGTTTGAGTTGGAACTTAAAAAAGGGAGAAGATTTAGCAAGGGCAAACATGTGTTTGACATATGAGAAAGACAGCACATCATTTACGGCAAGTGCAACTGAGTAGACTATATTTAGTCTTGCTGACTTGTACTTTTGCTAAATATCCTATTAGCTCGTTGTTAATAGAATATGTATGCGCAAGTTCTAATATTAGTTGGATACGTCTTGCATCAGAATCAAAAATTTGTAGTTTCCTTAAGTTCAATAATCGTTTCATTTGAGTTACGTTAGAAGAAAGGAATTATGCGCTTTTGGTAATGCTCAAAGCAAAAGTTAATGTCTTCAGACCGCGCTTATAAAAGCTAATACTGACAAATAATCCAAAAATTCTGGGTCGGTAGTAATCTGGTCGAAACTCTGAGTTTGAAGCTCCGCGTTAACTCAGAGATAACTCTGAGTTCCGTTTTTGAAACTCCGAGTTACGCTTATTGAAACTCTGAGTTCCGCTTTCATAATTCCGAATTCGAACTCTCAAGCTTGGAGTTTTGCTTTGAGGAGCTGTTAAGCACTTTGCTGCAAAAGCGACGTTGAAGTAGGGACTCGAACCTGTATGGTCCAGCGTAAAGATCCTATCACTAAACCGCTATACCATGACACACCCATGAACCCTAAAATTGCTTTGCCATAATGTACTCACTCATTCCATTAACACTTAGCAGGTCAAAACAAGTCATACCAAAGCCTCACTCATTTCCATTTCTATCGGGCAGTGATGGTTCATCGAGGATTGGTCTTTTGCGCAGCTGAAAGCTTCAAACAATACAGAAAGCGGATGGCATACGCAATGATAAGAATTGACTATTAGGATTTGCGCACAGTATAAATCCTCCGGGCAAAGTTTGCCCTTCCATGATTTCGTCTTACTTACCGTATACCTACCGTAACCGTTCCATATGTCACCAGTGTATGTAGCAGATAGATTGTCCGTAATCTGCATCCCGAATAACTCCAGTGTACCAAATTTCGGCTAATTCCGCCGCTTTAATTCATCTACCGTAAACCTACCGTAACCCCGTCAGATGACGCTGCGTATAATCTACACGTCATACTCGTTATCGGCGCCCCAAATAACCGCAGTGTACCAAGTTTCGATCAGTTTAGTGATTTTCTCCTTTCTACCGTAAACCTACCGTAACCTCGTCAGGTGACACCACAGTATAATCTGCATGTCATATTCGTTATCGGCGCCCCGAATAACCCCAGTGTACCAAGTTTCGATCAGTTTCGTGATTTTCTCCCATCTACCGTAAACCTACCGTAACACCTCTACATGACCCCATAGTGAAAAATGGGTACCATATGCGTGACCAGCGCACCGAATAACCCCCTGGGCCAAGTTTTTACAAAATTTCAAAATTTTGTAAATCACTGCGAACCACGATACCCCCATCATACCTGCTTTAACTACGAGCAAAATGTACCCCGGAGGACTTTTTAGCTGCCCCTCTTCTTTTGCGCACTATTTCTCTTTCTCTGACCAAACTCAGAGTTATCTCTGAGTTCCACGATAGACTGGAACGCGCATCAAACTCAGAGTTATCGCAGACACTAGTTGCGCGTTTGGTGGCGCTGTTTCTTGTGCAGGACGATTTGGACAATGTTGCGCTACTAGGAATAAACTACGTGTTAAGGAGAATCCTGCCATATCGTCGCTTTCCGAATTTGATCTGATCAAACACCTGTTAAGGGGGTCAAAAAGTTGCGCGTTAGCTCAGACATAACTCAGAGTTAACTCTGAGTTATAACTCTGAGTTTCGATAGGTTTACTACCGACCCTGATTTCCGGTCGTTATAGAATGCTAAGAGTCGATGACCCAACTACGATGAATTCCAGTTGATCAATGTGTTTACGAAAAGATACTTCGAATTTTCTTCCAAGTGTTGATTTTGTCAAAAATAAAGGTTCCCATTCTATATGATAAAATACTACATGTGGGAAAAACATTGGGTCGATTTGAAAGTTCGTGCTTTTTTCAATCTTATGCTCAAATCACTCAAGATAAAGATAAACAAACGGTCTGAACAGTTTTCGACGCCAACTTATTTTTCAAGTATCAAAATTTTCATCAAATTCTTGAAAAAAGCTTCGATAACACCTGAATAGAGTGAAGAAAATGCAATACAATGATTGGGCATCTTAAACTGGCTTCCCAGCATTTCCAAAAATGGTTACCCGACATCATACAAAAGATCTTCAGACGCCAATAAATCTTCAGAGCTCAGAACTCCAAAATTTGATTTTTATTGAATGCTAATCCTACGAGGCAAACGAGTATTTGCCGCCACGGAATACTGAAGATTGGATTCTTTGGGTACAGTTTACGCGTACAAAAACAAAAATCATGATGAGGTTCTCTCCGCAGAATTCACGAATCGGAAAGAAAAATATCTGTCGAAAAGAGGAGAAAAAGCTGCATCCAACAACACCTTATATACTCGCCGTTTGCTGTTCTATGAGATGTGGCCTAATACAAAATTTATCTGCTTTGGAAAAATAATTCCAACAATCGTGAAAAGCCAGCTAAGGATGCGAAAAAATTTCTTTCTGTTGCAATTTGCTTGTCTATCCAACTGTTTTCAGACCCTCTCAAAAGTCTAGAAAGGGGATTTTCTAATACAGCTGAAGTTAGGGCAGGTAAAAACCACTAGTCGTAGATTCCTGCTAATATTCCACCATCATCACAGTATCCGAACCGGAGCTTACTGCTAAAAAATGAATAAATTTCGCATCGAATACAGTTTGGCGCTTTCTATCTTTATTCTGAGTGGAGCATAAGTATAAAAAAAGGCATCAACTTTTAACGCGACCCACTATAATGAAGAACGAAACTTTTTGGGTAAGCATACCAAACGAACTTCTTAGAAATGCTAGAATTCTCAAAAGACTTGTTAGACTTTTTAGAATGCTTTCTGCCGTGTCATGTTCCAGTCAGAAGTAACAGGCTTTACAGTTTTTCAGCAGCAATACTTGCGAACTTGAAGTGAGTTGGAGGACTAGTTCATACGACAAGTAGATCAAATAATTACCTGGAATCCGGCCCGAATAGCTTGTTCGGCGACTCTTGAGAGGAAAAGACCAAATGTGAGATTTACTTGTTCCCGACATCGCAATCGATTGTTTTCGTAGCCTGGAAAGCGGAATTGTAGCTAAACTCAGGTGCAGCAAAAGTGCTTTTGTCAATTTTTTCCCTGTCACAGGTGCTTCTGTCAAATTTTGTTCCTCTGTCACAAGGGTTACATATGATATGTCATGAGAATTTTACTTTCATGACAATTGTATGCCCTCCCCTCACCCTTGCAACTAAATTGTTTTGAGCAATTTTTGAGCGCTTACTCTTCGCAGACGAAGAAAAAGCGAATAAAGTTCTAGCAGCTCACACTTAGAAAGTAAGAAAAGGGAAAGGGTAAGCTAGAGAACCCTACTCTAGCTAGAAGACAGTCTCCAATCTTTTTAGGCAGACTAAAGACCAGTGGCTTTCTCAAGGGGGGGGGGGGGGGGAAGCAGTAAGGGGTTTGATTAGATGAAAGAACGTGCTAGTGATGATTTACTATAACATTTTGGAGTCCATGACCCTTCAATTTTGAGAAAACGTAGCTCGGCTACCATAAATTCAAAAAATCAAATTTACAAACTTGTTCTAATTATCTACAAATATTGATTGTATTACTTCCAACTCATACAGACTTTTCTCATCCGCGTTTTACCTCTCTGAGGTTCAAAACCGGCTGGTATCGGAGTAGATTAAATCTCCTTTGTTTGTTCATTGTAACTGGAGTGTTCTAGTGAAATTTGAAAATACAAAACAATTTCGTTCACTTTTCCATTCCATTCACCCATTCATAGCGGAAGTTCCCCCCCCCCCCCAATCTACAGGTGCAATGACTTTTTATATTTACGGCCGGAGTTTGTAGGTCTAGATCGAAGAACGATATTGTTGTGTGGAACACATAAGAGCGCCCGAGTCATACTTACTCGAATCTCAAAGCTCAAGCAGCGCTCAAGTAAACAAATCAAAACTGGCTTCAATATCAGTAACAAGGCAATATGGCAAGCGACTATGGCATTCTGAAAACATCCTGTCGAGAATATTGCCGATTTCCAAGAAAAGCACAAAAACTCAACATATTTTGTTTTGCAGACCAACCTACTATTCTTCCATAGCTTGCACCTTATTTTTGAAACCAGAATGACAATAAGTACCTGGCAAGGTAGTGTAGTTTAGCTTACTTTTTAATAAAAAATAAAAAAGACCGGGTAGATCTATCCACCATAGACTCCAAAAATAGAATTTTTTGTTCATTAAATGCGGGCACAAAAAGAGGGTAAATCACTGAAAAATAGAAAGAGGCAAGTTACAAAACCAGACCTACAGATTTGCAGATCGCGGGTATTCCCACAAGGACTTTTCTGTAAAAAACCTTCTAGCTAGTTGTAACCCCCGTAGTTTCTCTATCATAGTAAGAATGTTTATTTCCACTTAAAAAATGGAGAATACCGGCAGAAAAGCCAAAAAAACTGCACTTTGGTTAAATTCTTCAAAATGGGTGTTAACGCTCTAGAAAGTTCTCGCATTCCTGCGTCTCGTTTGAATAGTGTTGTAAGCCTCCCCCCTCCCCACCCGTAGTCTCTTTATCACAGTAAGAATGTTAATTTTCATATTAAAAAATGGAAAATTCCAGCAGAATATTTAAAAAAGGCACGGTGGTCCATATTGGGCATCAATCCTCCAGTCCCCAGCAGGGTCCGGTACAGATCGTATGGATACGAGCTAGACTTCGTTTTTGGGGCGAAAAAGCAAAGGGGATATCGTTTTTGTGGTTAAAAAGACGCAAAAAATTGCGACTTTTTTCAGTAGAAGTTTCGTTTTTTAAGAGTTTTTTACAGATATGGTTTGGTTTCAAAGGGGACTTCGTAAATTTTGGCGGAAGTTAAGGGCAACTTTGTTTTCAAAAAGCCTAGATACGGACTCATGCCGGGCCCTGGTCTCGCTCACATCATCATTTACATTCTTAGAATGATAATAATGAGGAAGAGAATGCATTAAACGACGGCAATTTTCGCACATTATTCCGAACCAGACACACACACACAGTTGTTCAAAACTGCCATGCTGACGAAATACCTGCTCCAATAAGAAAAAACGCCATAAACCTCATCGATCTCTCGTTTGCTGCCTGATGCTTCGCATTCTTGAGCAAACAAAATTTCACGGAAGCAAACATAAGCTTTTGTTTTATTAGTGGATTAAGACCTCTTGAAAAGACGCTTACCTGGAGGGAGTTGCGTGACGAGCAGTGTGATCGAACGAAATGTGTAGAGCGTGCCAGCGATGAACATGAATCGGCGAGCCACGACGGATCGGGATCGGTGGAAGATCAGCAGCAAGATGAAGCAGGCCACGGTTGCCGTGACCATGTAGTCACCGAGGCGGGAAGCCCATTCTTGCTCGGGGAACAGGGCGAAAAGGAAGTCGGGGAGGGGTTGCCTGGAAAGAAGGGACTCATTTTAAAAAAGTTCAAAGTTGGTTTTTCTCAGATGAAGGACGCACCAGAATTGTTCGAAGTTTGCATATATTACACTAAAATCATTTCAAAGTTGAAAATCAAAGATGCTGAGTTAGAAGCTGATTGGCACAGATTTTTTCAAACTTTCAAGTTTCTCCGATATATTTTCCATTTCCAAAATTTCTCTTATAAATTCTTCAACTTATGCGGGTCTTTATGATTTTGTTCTTTTGCAAAGAAGAAGTAAAGTCTTATTTTAAAATTGCAGAGCAAAGTCAAGAAAGGATCTTTTGCGTTCGGTCATTGAAACCACTGCCATTATAGGCTGAAATTTGATCTGCCCTGCAATACGTGATGAGAAAATTTTGGCAATGAGAAATATCGATGAATGCAATAGAAATATGACCAAACTAAGACCAGAACCAAACATGGAAGTTATGAAGAAACTTTCAAAACCAGCTTTCTAGAGAAATAACAAATTCTACTTCATATTTTTTGCTTGTCCCTCATCTGCTCAAAATTCTCTAGTGAAAAGATAATCGTCAATTTTCGTAACTTCGACAGTCGAAAAAAGTCACAAGTTGGAGAAATTTTACAAACCTGATTCATGCGGCTTAATGTTTTTAGATTTTTTTTATCTCATTAAGAAGTTTCAATATCCTTTCTAGATTTCCAATCAATGTCATGCCAGAGATTTTTATTTATTATAGAACGTTACTACTGAAAACAGAAAGAACCTATGAGTAAAATTTCTAAAGACTTTGACAAAATCCCATCATCTTATCAGCGATTCACGGGATAGCGTGGAATAATTGAGAGGAAAAAACATCAAAATTTTGAGATGTAGTGTGATGAACATTTCTTTACAAAAATGATTACCTTTTAGTTGTTGTCTAGTATTTTCATGTTTGGACGGTATGTTTTTTACAGAGATAAATACTTAACACGACTAATCGTGAATAACTACACAACCGAAATGTTTGGACGGTATGTTTTTTTACAGAGATGAATATTTATTACATTTCTGAATTGAATTCACTCCGAATGTGTAGCCTGGGTCCTATGACGATGGATCAAAGGCTACTTGAGCTAAACGCCATAGAAATCGAAGATCTGCTATTCTGACGTAATCTGCATACGTAATGCTGAGCTACGCATCCTCTTGCAAAGCAGCTTTTCTTCATAAATCCAAGCGAAAACCAAACCTGGTGGCGAAATCGTGTGTGTAGGCGATTACAGCAAAATTGCAGAGGCATGCAAGTCCCAGGTACAGGCAGAGAAATAACCATTTACCGAATTGACATCGAGACATAACGACTTTCGAACTGACGAACACAATTTTTCGACGCGTACGACTCCTTGAGGGTTTCTGCAAAGATGACTGTAGTGTACAATAGCTTATTGATTTGACCACCAGAGATTACGGTAGGTGTAGATGGTACCAAAAATGCTTACAGGGTCCACGACGCTAAGCTGTTGAGTCATGGAGAGCTATAAAACTGTACGGTATAGTCAGAGATGTTTGAGTAGAAGTTAGATTATGAGCCATGCCGAATGTTCATATGAATGGAGGCGGAGCTAACAGAGTAAACATTAGCCGAGGAGAACATTTTCTGCTCCCCCTGCTAATGAGCGACTTATTCGTTCGGGCGAACATAACGAGATTGTCTAGAGCTCATTAGGAAGTATGCAAGTGCCAGGTTCGAAAGAAAAAAATACAAAATTCAAAAAAAGGACACGTTGATGTTTATTTTTTATCTACAAAAGCTCTAAATAGCACTGGAAACAGCATAATAAATGAAGAATTTAATGTTTCTATCAAGAAACCATAAACATCGCTAATAAAACACACTGGCAACGAAGGATCAAGCATAGGAATATTTACGGATAAGAGTGTCTCTAAGAATTGCGTTTGGTTTAGAAAAAAATCTGCGAATAATATCGATCTAAGAAACAAATTTTTCTTTATCTCATCTCTTTCGTTTTTTGCACAGGAAAATTCAAGTGCTCCTTGGAATTGTTAAAATCACAAAGCAGGGATTTTCACAAACTTTAAGCTTTTGGAAGTTTTGCTGCTAAAGCTAGGAGAGGAGGAGGCAAAATGCAAGGATGGACTTCCACTTTCATGTGAAGTAGTTATGGTTGGAATTTCCGGATTGATTCTGTCCAAAAAAATCTACAGATTCCCATGCAGTAATAAGAAATTATCATCTAAAGAACTAAGATACAGGATTCTAAAAGTATGTCGTCACTTCGTATGTAGAAGTCCACATTTAAAACAAGAAAAATTTATTGCAGGCTGAAACCTTCCCACACTAAATAATATACGTGGATTAGGTTTACTCAACGTCATAAAAGATTTTCAAATCCAAATCAGGTCCAAAATTTGTAGCTTAGCAACTTCCGAACTACTGCTGTAGTTATGACAACGAAAAAAATCTCTTCTTCCCGATTCCCAAATCTCTTTTATAATAGAAACTTCCAACAAATGTGAAAGAATACACAAATTATGATACTCATCCAGAACTAGTTCTCACATGAAAAGTCTAATAGTAATAAAAATCGTAAAAATTGGGTCAATTTTTCATTAAAGGGATAAGGCTATGGTACTTATCAACAACATTCTAGAGGATTATTTTTTCTTTGAAAAAGATGAAAAATATCGATTTCTTCAGGATAATTGCCGTGTCAGCTTTTCCATGGGGACGTCGAGATTATGGTCAACTACAGTATTTGAATAAATATGGGCATTGCTTGTCTCGCAAAAAAAGATTGAAAAGTAGCAATCAAAAGTAAAAATATCGAATCAACTATTTTGTACAGACATCGAGATTATGGTTCAATAACTGCACTATTTATAATAATTTTCTTATTCAATTTGTTTTCTCATTGAAAAGAATTGGTAACGATATGAAAATTCAAAAATTTAAAATCAGACGAAACACTGTCGAGAACTTCTCATTCCCTTTCAATCTTTTAGAGGACGAACTAGAACACCCAGATAGGAGAATACAGGTCTACAACGGTGTCAAAACACTAACTTTTATAGGCGATACTATTTATCTTTACTGAGTCATCGGACAACTCGAGAAATTCCAAGTTTTGCTTCAAAAAAAGACATGTGTAAGCAGATGCATAATAATTTGATAAATAAGGACTTTATGGAAAAGCAAACAAAACAATGACGCAGTCAGGTCTTTGCTAGTAGGTTATGAAAAATTTTTGTTGCTGAGTCAGCATTTTGCAAACTTGGATCTTCTTTCTGGATGTAACTTTTCGAAAATCAAATATCAAAATTTCTTCTATTTTTTAAGTTGATGACAGGAAACTGATTGATACTTCAGTCCTAACTCTTTACTTATCTCAAAAGTTGATTCTAAAGCTTAGAACATGTAGACTTACGTAAGAACATAAGACGCGAGAACTACAACTGTTATTTACACTGAAATGACCGTGTCACAAGTGTGTTTTTGTTCCTGAGAGGACCTCCTTCAAATCGCTATTTACACGTACTTTCGGCGCGCGTTATCAATAGCACTACGATCATATAAGAAAAAGAATTTTAGTGGAGTGTAAAATACGTAGTAAAAAGTCAAACGTAGATGTGATTGATAACAGGGATGAATCAGAAAGTCACGGAGAGAGGCGTAAGAATTATGCCAAAAAAGAAATTTTTAATATTTTTGAGGTAAAACAGTCATTTCTAGAAAAGAGGTGAAAGAGTTCATGCAAATATCCTCTACCTTATGGTCAGAGATGTCTAGCTACTTGGTCCATGATTTTTGAAAAAAAAAGTTCCACAAATAATTTTATTCTAATATATCAAAAATGCAAAATATAAAAGGACGTACCCGTTCAGAAGGAGATAATATTGAAGTACTGAGGAATAGTTCTTTTGAGAGAGAATTATGGAATTAGAATCCAGAATCCAAAAGCTGTCACGAATTGTTCTGTTGATAAGGAGACTCAAACGGGACGTCTAATTGTAAGAGGGACGGGATCAAAATCTTACCAAATTCTGCGATTTCATCTCAATCAAGTTCGCGGAGATCTCAGTTCTCAATAATAACCATTATCTAATGTTTCACAAATTGATCAGATCGTACGGTAGTGATACGGTATATAGAGAATAAAGAAGCTGACATATCGAGTTTTTCACAATTATGATTTCTTTTTCAAAAAATTCTCCACACTTTCGAATAAAATCCTAAGCAATTAAATTTTATTGAAGCGAGAAAAGAATTGAACATTCAAAAATAATGCAACACTCTGATGTTTTGGGCTTTGGAAATTGCTTCTTTGATATCGGAAGCTATTGGGTCAACAATTCTACAAAACGGATTCAAGCGAATAGAGAAATGTACTAAAATTTTCTATCCTCCACGTGATTGATAACATGGGCTGAAAGCAGAAAGTCGTTTGTAAAAGGGTCTTAACTATGATATAAACAATGGGGCTGACATTTTTATTCCCAAGATTCTGATAGGCGACCTCCCTTGTAAAAAATACGTCTCGCACAATTTGTGCACAACAGTTTCTTATCTTAACGCTAAGCACAAGACCTGCTACTTAGCGTGTTCACTCCTGGGAAATAAAAAAAAATCATGTTTCCTTGAGAGAAAATCATTGTGGAGATTTTTTGCAAAGCATCATAAAGCCACTGAGGTATAGGACAGAATACCTCAATTAGGCACCGCCTCCGCGGCTTGCTAGTACTTTCCTCCTACTGTTGTGCATCGTATTAGGACCAGTAGTCCGCGGAGGCGGTGGCTAATTGAGGGGTTCGTTCCTCCACCCAAACCAATGGACTTTTGACAGTTGTACATAAAATTTCTACCATTACATGACGACAAGGTAAAGAAGTAAGGAAGTAGACAGAAAGTAAAAGGAGGGAAATGGGGGGGGGGAGGGAGTAAAGATAAGAGCACTCATTTTTTGTGTAGCATACACATTCGTTTTATTACTTGATTTTCTTTTCTGCTACAGCCAGAAGTTTCAAATAATCGGACAAGTAAATAAGAGATGAGTAGACAAGTCGTCCGACATTCAGAAAATCTGAAAATCCAAAATAACTTAGAACCATATATATAACAATTATTTCAGCCCTGGGAAATGCGTAATCAAGCGAAAAGCGGAAGTTCTTATCCAAAAACATAAAAGTACATTCAGCAACCGTTTCCGGTTCTACAAGTAGCACACATCGAGAAGCTCAGCAATCTTTACAAAGACCTAAGAAAGAGCAAGATTGCCCCCGGAAGCGAAGGTCCAGGAAAAGCGTTGGACGAAATGACGTTTAGGGACTGCCATTACGTCAATAGGGCCTCGTTTCTCAGCCGAATGCGTAATTGCAGAGAACTGCGCGCCCCACATTTAGCCCCCCCCCCCCCCAGTAACAGAGACAACTTACGACCATGTCGTCGTTTCGATCGCGGGATTTCACTGGAAAAATGCAAAACCCGTGTGAGTAGTGGCCTCAAAACCCGCTCCTCCCCCATCCGCCGTCACGCACACATATATTTAACAACTCACCGTGAAGAGGATTAGCTTTTGGAGTAACGTCAAGACCAGTTCGACGACCATATGATGTGTGAGCACTTTTGAGGGTTTTACTGAGCAACCACTGAACAATTCAACTCAGGGAGGGAGGGGGGGGGGGGGCTGAATCATCGAAAGAAGCAAAAGAAGCATGTCAGGCGCTTCAAATGTTCGACATTTGTCCTTGTCATCGCCTTTTTTGACATTGTTGATAGCGCCGGCAAGCCCTTGAACGTGAGCAGTTTTTGTTTGAGAGAGAAAAGAAGGAAAACTTTGAAGCATATGTGTCGCAAATGGTATATGATAATATCGAAAGATTGCATAGAAATCATTTCCGATGACGTCACCTTTGTCTTCTGTTTTGTCGCTTTAGCGCAATCTTTTGAGAAAATTTTAGTAATGAATCATTTTCACTGCGCAATTTCGCATGTTCCAACCCATTGATGGATACGCCTAATTTTGCGTGGCAGCGCTGTGGGACGACGCGATTTTGCACAACACTTTCAGTATGGGAGTTCTACAACTATAACATTTTCTTGAACGGCGGAGCCTACAGGTCCCGAGAGTGCAAAAAATTGCAAGAAATATGTAGAAAAAGTACTAAACCTATTATACAATAATATGACTTTGCAACAAGTGTGGGCCACCGGTGATCCACGTCATCAATGGGTTACGCACCATTCAACTCCCCTCCCGCCCCCCCCCCCCCCTCCCCACCCCAACCATCCTAGGTTTGGCTCCTAATCTACAGCAAAACATTGAAATATTCATGTTCTTAACATGACAATAATTTTCATAATAGTGTAAAAACTCAAGTTTAGATTACTTCAATGATTTATGTAACTCGACTAACTTAGTCCCGGAAGTGTACTTACTCACGAAAATTTGTAGGGAATTTAAAAATTATTCGGAGAGAAAGTGAACGTGAAGGGGAAGACTTGAAGCACGCGAAACTGCGTAGAGAAAATGATTCATTGGGAATATTTTCCATAAGATTGCTTGAAAGCGACAGAACAGAGGACAAAAGTGACATCATCGAAAATGATTTGTGTGCACTGTTTCGACGCGGTAATGTATACAATTGTTACATATTATTTTAATCGAAATTTTGCTTAAGAGAGTGGACTAAGGACATTTTTAGAGCAGTCTTCCATAACTTCACCCCTTTTCTTTTCGATAAGTACATACACAAGTGAATCGAAATCGTTCCCACACTAGAGATGTCAGAAATGTTTTGCACTAAAGCTTTATGTTCATGTAAGAAGCAAACGAAACTCTTCTTCTTCTTCTCTTGATTATGAAGCTTATAAAAGCTTATAATTGATGCAAAAGCAAGAAAATCAGCAAATCTTCCGACAAATTCGGAGCACAAATGTACTTGATTTTTTCATTTACAATTTTTTCCCTTTATTATGTCGAAAATCTTTATAAAGAAAAAGAATGTAATAGAAAGATTATCTAACATTTTCTATAATACTGTTGATTTCAGCAAGCAACTGTAAGTGCAATCATCTATAAGTAAGCTATAAAATATTGCAATAAATATATTAAATGGCTACTGATCGGGTAACGTCGTTCGATGCACTTGTATAGCTACAGTTCTAAAATTGAAATATTTCTTTCTTCATTCGAATATGGTATGGCGACAATTTTAGAGAGTAAGTTTCTGAGCAGGTCCAATCAAATGTTTGTCGGTTACAACAATCACCTACAGTTCATAACTGATTTGTGAGTTAAATGAGTAGTAATGACCTTAGTGTTGCAGTTCTAGCCAAAAGTATGATTTTTGTGCCTTCATAAAAAAACTATGATGCATAGTTATCCAGTCAGTTGTAAGGATAGAGACAAGAGATGATCGAATAATGATAAAATCATGATAATAAATTTTTTTCGAGGATTCGGACTCGTGCGATCGTATGATTTTGAACAGCTTTGATTGAGCGCAAAGAATATAGAAATTTTGCAAAATTTTTGATTAGCAGTGTTCGAAAATTGTGCTGCAAAATATTAGCCACAACATTTGCTCAGAAGCAATCAGCAAGTACGAGCAAAGAAAGACGGGCAGTTTTCGGGTTTAACAAAGGCCTGCGGCTCTGAAAACGAAGGCTGAGGGCTAATGGCACCTGCTGGGAAAAACTGCCCGAATGTTATCTATGCACATGGCAATCACGATACTCAACGATGGAGTTCTCAGAGAATGTTCACTCGAGTAGGGTAAATACTGGGTGCAGGTATGAGATGTAAATATAGAGTACAGATCAAAGATGAAATGAGTTATGTCATCAAGGATGAGTCCACAAGGATCTGCGTTGACGTCAGCCTTGACATCACGAATTGCTATCACATGGTGAACGCACTGGATTGGCTAATGGAGAGTTTAAAAGTTTGGGGAGTTACAGATTATCTATGTAGGCAAAAAGTAAGCTAAAAGTTAGAAGAGTTGAAAGATTTGCAAAATATAGAAAAGAAGGAGAAAGGCATATATAAATTGTATTGATTTTAGATAAAACAGCATTGGCAAAAAAGTGGCACGCCTTTCATTTTCCAAAATAGGTCGTTTATTTCTCTATAGTAGTTCAGACAATGTACAAAATCAAATAGTAATCTATTTTGAATCTAAACAACTTGAATAATCTTGACGTCTCACAAATTCAAATAAGACTTTCAAGTTTTTCCAAAGTAGCCTACCGCGACGCCCCTTTTTTTCCAAGATTTCAAGCGGAAGCTTGCGAGAAACTCTAGAAAGTTTTTCATTCAAAAAGGTCTACATGTTTTATAACATCATGCAGTACTGCTTCAATGAATAATAATAATAAATTTCAAAACTTCAATAAATTTAGCACTTTTTCTAGCGCTAACGCGAATTCACCCCAAAAAAATTTTCCGGAGGAGTGGCTTCAGGCACACCCCCTTCTCAAAAAATAGAGTTGCTTACATAAGATCTCAGTGACTTCCTGAAATTTCTCAGAACGAAGAAAGTTTCGTGGAATGCAATTTTTACAGTATAGTGATTGAACGAAGATGGACGATAGATCGGAAATAAATAGCTTCACCACGCGAAATACATATGGCCAAAAAGAACCGAAAATACTGCAAAAAATAGAACGTGAAACTTTCACGAGATTTGGAGTTTATTTAAAATTTCATTCTAACCGCTTTACATGGTCCCGGAGATTTACAATTCACACCCTATCTAGAAAAGGAAAGAAATAAAGCTCGAATTCCTTCCTTTAATTTCACAGAAAATGATGGATAGTTTGCAGAATCGATTATTCGGAGATTCAACGGTTTGGTATAGGTAGGACTTAGCAAAAAGTAATTTGAGAGAATGCAAAAATGACAAATTGAGCAGAAAATTGTTTAAACAGCCGAATTCGCCCCGCATGACATGGGCATTTGTCGCTGGGAGGGCAAAGAATGCCCAGCATTATCCTCTGAAGCTGTCGTAACAACTGACACCGACGGGTAAATGAGAACATGAGACCGAGCTGAGAACACAACACTTGTGTTTTACCCCTTCCCCCCCCCCCCTTCCGATTACTTACCAATTTGCACTTGCTTTACCCAAGGGCAAGTACCTATCAGTGCCAGTTAGATGACCAGGTTTAAGTGAAAAATGATATTCTTGCAATTCAAGAGCTCTTCAAATATAGTGCTCAACAAACACTTGTTGTGAACAAAATTTGATTATTGCACTCACTTCGATCGTAACAGCGGTTGTATCGGTGTCCGGCAAGTCGCTTCGCACATCGTTCGAATAGCCTAAAGTGCAAAATTTTTCTATTACTAAACCATTGGAAATTCTTTCGATGATTCGATTTCAATTTTCGCCCTCATCCTGAACGTTTTGATCCCTAAAAACTTTCCTGAATCGCTCGTATACCCCTTGCAAAAGTTTTACAATCGATATTTTCGTGGCCCTAATAATCCGACCATAATGCTTCGAAATGGCTCATAATCGATAATTATTTACACCTGCAAAAACAATGCATTTCTCTATCCGTAGCCGTGAAATTTGCTCGGTTTAATCAATAGAGCTAGAGATCCAAGTATAAGGAATAAAATACAATACATTTGCTGAAATGAAAAAGGCATCACAACTTTGCCTATTTGCTTAGTTACTTTTCTAAACACTCAAAAAGCATTGACAAAGAAAACTGACAGGCATGAAAACTCCTCTGTCCAGGAGATAAGCGTAATGAAAAATCAAGAAATACTTAGCCCGAAACCGGCTAGTATCAGAAAAAGGAAAGTCAAAGCGTCTTTCGCATTATTACCTAATAGTTTAAAAGTATCTATATCATATCTGAACAGCCTTTTTTTTACAATTGCAAGATGTGGAGGCTTATAAGGGTATTTAAAGGCAGCATCTACTCAAATCAATCGTGTTGTATGTTTTTGTTTTTCTGGGGCCTTTCCGTGACCCTGATTACAGATATTCCAAAATATGCAAAACCTCCCCCCCCCCCCCTCCTCCCCCCTCCCCCGCCCTAAAAAAATCTCGATTTCTGGGAGCCTATCCAGCAGGCGAAGAATTTTTAATGCTTAGGTGGGCGGAGATGGGAAGGGGGGGCGTGGCTTGATACCACTTTCGCGAGTCCCAGGTCCATTTTGTATACGGAGGCCACATTAGAAGGCGGATCAACGCAGATACCCTACTCATAAGGATTTCTTGTAAATTAAGTACCAATCGAGTGTGCATAGATTTTGCCTGGACGCTGCATTCAGGAAGTGGTGAATAGCATTTGATTTAGCAGAAAGTCATTTGATCAATAAAAGAGATTCAAACCTCACTGTCATCAAAAATTATCAGCTTATACGTATGAAAACAGATTATTTTTTTCCATTTTCAGTGCTAACTATCACTATTTTACAGCCATTTGAGAAGAAAAGCACAAAGCTGAAATGCCATCACGTCATTCTACGCTTTGTGCCCTTGCATTGCAAAAATCGGGTACCATTACTGTAGACGCATTGCAAGATGAACAATATTGATTTCTGCTTTATGCTTTTACTAACTTTATTTTATGTGTTATACATAAGTTGTACGCGAACGTATAAAATAAATGATCTCACAGGACTACTTACCCAGGGGATTTTAATTCAATTTTTAACCATATCTCAAAGAATGTTGATAGGGAAAAAGGATCCGACAGAAATGACCATTGGATTCACCTGTGGTATACAAGATGTACCAAAAAATGTATCTACTAATTGATTATTAATGACTTTCTCGTGCTGAGATCTTTCGAGAAGCTTGGTACCATTTTGTAGAGCTGTCTTAGATCTGCAGTATAGAGCGAATTGTAGCTCGCTCACTCTCACTCCAACTGTAGGAATACGGTGGAAACTTTTAGCATAATGCGCACTGTGAAACAGCCAGTTTGATCAAAAAGCTCCAAAAAATCTGGAGCCGTAACAACTCCTTTTCCAGTGGTTTCTCAGACATTTGATTTCACCACCAAAAAAGCTCAGCATGTGATTTGAACTTGTTGAATTTTCTTTGAAAGCTTGTAAAAAAGCCTGCTACACATTTTACAAATTTCACGCTTGCTGTTTTCATTAGGCAACTTTTTCAAAGTTTTCTTTATTAGTGATGAAATCACATTTTTGGAAAACATTGGAAAAACACTTGTTAAGATTTTCTGAGACGAAATTTGTCTTTTAATGGTTGGAACCCCGTTCAGAGTTTCTACCGTAATTCTACAGCAGGATTGAGTTATGTGACTTGCTCCACGCTGTAAATCAAAGTTGAAGCCAGTTCTACAAAATGATACCTAAAGCTTCTCCAAAGGCTACATGACAAAAGTAACTAAAAACCAAATAGTAAGCACATTTTTTGGAACACCCACTATACCGCTGATATTTTCTGACTGCGGCAAAATCTTCAGGGTAATCCAGGCAACATTGCACCCTAATAATGAATAATGCAGCATGTGATGCACCATGTGAGTGTACTTTCATGAAATGTAAAACAACTCTTTTCGAAATTTTTTCTTACATGTATATAATATAATTTGCTAGTCCAAGTGATTGATATGGAGTTAACTACCGTACTTTAATATCAGTAAAACAAAAACCCATACTCGAAGAAAGTATCACAAATTCAGAAGCTACTAGATATTTGTCAGACATGGTAATTACAACCAGTACTTTACTACAGTAGTTGTGAATGCATTATGCCCGAAGCATTGCAAAAGTTTGATCTAGAAAAATCCTTAGCAAGTTTGATCCTGAAAAGTTCGCAACTATTCAAAATCACTTTTCTAATATTCTTATAATCCGATTTGTACATTCAGTCATAGAGCTTGAATTGAATTCGCTATATTTGATTACCAATATTACTTGGTCATTTTTAAAAATCATGAGCAATACAATTTATATGAAAAAAATTCACGCTGTTCAACTTAGTCTGAGCCCATTTCTTGTGCGAAAAAATCAATCATCATTGAACATTTCCAGCCAGTGAAGGGCAAACAACTGCTGCAGACCATACGTCACCGTCGACGTTTGAATATTTTTGAATATTTAACTAGCTCAACGATTTTCACAGTTCCAAAATCACCTGTCTGCGAACTTACTTTTATTAGATAAACAAAGCAGAAATGTGGTAAAGTCGTTCTTTGAAAAACCTATTTGCTTAGGGAATTGCGTGAGAAAGATCGCGCAAGAACTGGGAAGTCGCAAGAACAAAAATTAACAGCAGTTCTTATCAAAGATCAGACTCACACGCTCTCAACGACGATCTGTCCACAACAGGCTCGTAGCAGGTAGTTTCAGCCATCCAGTGAATCAATTCAAGATCGTCTGGCCCTAATAGCGCGCAATTTGCAATTCAAAAAGCTGAAACAACATAGAATCACTTGCAGAAATGCTGTAGACGGGCGTTCGAAAGAGAGATCGAAAAGTGACAAATGATTTTGAACGGAAAATCAAGAAAAAAAAGAAAATAAGATTCTGTGCTGGTCGAGACAAATTCAAAATAGCTTCTAAGTAGGTCCTAAAGAGAAAATACTCGTATACTATACTACTATAATATAGACTCGTCAAATTTTTATCATTTGATTTCTTTTCTGTTTTCCTTGCCAAATACTGGACCCCATATCTTGCTTACCTGGAGTCAATCTGCTCTTTAATCCTACTTTATAGCTGTTTCATTGTTCAAACATCTTCAATTTAAACTTTTTGATTGAGATTAGTTTACAGAGCAGAATCCATACCCCGAAGAAAATTTGAGGATTACCACGCACTAAACAAGGTAGGCTGGATGCAAACCTCAAACATAAGAAGAAACAGAAATTTTTCTTGTGAAAATTCATTAGTAACCGCGCCTTTCACTACTTTTTGTATCCATAGTCTAAACTGCGATAAATTCAGGACGCATCATGTGTAGTGCAAATGTTAGCTTTTTGAAGACAAGGAGGTTTTTGACAAACAAATGGTTTAAATTGATAAAGATCTTTTTTTGCTATTGGTTGCCTATGTGAATAGGAAAATGAAAAATAAACAAATAAACAAATAAATAAACACACAAGTGTTATGAAAGTTGTAAGCTATAATGGCGTGGTAGAACACTACAACTGAATATAACTGATGCCATATTTTTCATTATCAAGCGATAATGGCATAGTTAAAACTCTAAGTGATACTATTCTCCATGAAAGAAACTGTCTGATAAGCTCTATTGACTATACTATACGTGAGAAGAAAGCTAGTACGAGGCAATTGCTAGATGGATGCTGCCCTTTTAGATCTCATCCGATCGCCCTCGAGGCTTATTTCCCATGCGGTCTCGGAAAAAGAGAGTGACGTCCTCAGTGACAACTTTTTCATTGAAAGATGAATTGGTCTCCAGTGCTTCGTGCCTGCCTCAGCGGTTCTTTCTCAATGTCGGTAATGAAATCTTTTTTTTTCAAACATTGGCCAGACTACACTGCCTAAGCCGATAGTGAGTTCACAGTGCAAGCGAAGTCAAGCAATTATTGGCAAGATGGTTAGAGCGATAAAAGTTCTTCTTACACTCAAAAAGATCGAGATAATTAGCAAAATCTTTGCGTGTCCACAGGTTGAGATTTTGCTGCATGTTATTTTGTGGAAAACAAGTTCTCAAGAGGTCTAATATCTTCTCTACAATAAGGCTGCAACATTGCCACTTGCGTTAAAAATCCTTTTTCGAGAAAAGCGCAGTTCAAAAAAGTTTACGCAAAATAAGCAATATTCATGATAGCTAGGATTATCTAGAATCATCCAAATTCAAATTATCAAAAGCCTTCAGTGAACTCAAGTATAGTCTCGTATGGAATCTCAAGATGTAATCAATCTGGTTTTTTCTGACAAAACTTGAACTTTTTATCGAAATATTCGGTTCGAGAATGTTCTTTAGAAGAGGTGGTTTCTCCTGTCCACTGATGTAAAAACAAGTGCAGAGAAGAGATCAGTCGTTAAATTAAAAGAAAAAACTGCGAAAGCGCCAAATCTCTGAAGAATTTGTAAATGGGTGTGCGCTTTCCTTGTTGATGACTTCAAATTTTTTCGAGCTTTATACAAAAGAAACGAAGCGTAACAAATAGCATTCCTGTGTGGTAGTAAACTTGGCACGTGAAAAAAGCAATTGTTGATAACACAGCATTCAAAGAATGGTAGTAACTTTGACAGCTTTTGGTTTCAAGATTTGCGTGTAATCGCTTGGCTTTTGATTTCTGATTTGTAATGCTCTAAGATATTGAATAATCCAAAATTCCATAGGTGACGCATTTTTATTCTCCATCCACATCCAACACCTATGGCAGATTCTATAAATGTAACCAATAGTAAATACTTAGCAGCTATATTCGATAGCTACTAGCTATAGCTAATCCAGTTTTCTACAAATTCTCGCTTTCAGAGATCTATAACCTTGCTGAAGCAAACATAGAATGGCATTTTGGTCATTTTAGTTTGCGAGAGAGTAGCAAGAAATTCTGTTCTGCGTACTATATATATACTGATGAATGTCAATAACTCAAGGATCCACCACTCTTTTCTTTTTTCTTCGTTGATTTTTCGAAAGGGTGTAACATTACGGTTTTCTTACCATATAAATGCCGCAAAGAAAAAAATCTATCGCAATAGCTATGCCTAGGATATAAAAGTGCATCAAAGGAAACGTCGAAATGAAGCGCATCAAAAGCCAAAGTTCCTGACTCACTCTCTCACTTAAAAGAATTCGCACTTCCCGTACATAAAAAGCGCACGTACAAAAGACATTAACAATGCCATATGTTCCAGGCAAGGTCGTAATTCTTTCCCCGTCCGAAAAGTAACTGCCCCGTATCGTTGCGTGATGTTGATCGATTATCGCTAAAGATCTCCGACGTATGCGGTTTTTTGGTAAAAGTGCACTTCGTTAGCATAGCATTAGAGCTCATTATGAACTCAAAACCCGGAAATGGATCGTTCAATGCTTGACGCAAAAGAAGATCCCAGTTTGGATTTCACAAAAGCCATGCAAATCATAAAATTTACCGATTATTAGTGATGCTCGGTGACGAAAAATATAGCAAGTACCAAGGAGGCGGAGGGGTGGAGGCAAAAGCTCCTTATATAACTGCACCGAACCCGAGTTTCTCAGAATTGCAAAGGTTCCGTGTTTTAATCATAATTCACAATTGATTTTGAGATAAAATGAAAGAATATTTCGTGATATATAGTGTAAGAAAAACTGCTGAGAATTAGTCGCACTGCCAGCGTCCAACGAAAAAATTGCACTGCATTGCTTTGTTTGCGCAATCTAACCGTTATCAAAGTCCCAAAAGTACAAAACGAAAATTTCCAAAAATTGCTGAATTTGAGCATGGTAAAAACCATGGGTTTGCTCGGCGATTATTGACCACAAGGGTAACCCGCAAATAAACATGACTGCCTGAAAGAGGAAGAAAAACTGGCGTCGAACATTGTCTTAAGCATTTGCTTATGATCATTCTGCTTTGGTTTTATGAGAGGTCAAAAAAACCGGAAACAACTTTCCGACCGACCTAATATTTTTCTTCCCTAATATTTTTCTTCTTTTGCGAGGACCGATCTAATATTTTTCTTCTTCTGCGAAACTTTCAGTTCCCTTTGTCTCTGGCCCCTATCAAATTTTCATTATTTTTTCTAGTCTCCACATCATTGGCTCAATCCTTTTTCTCTCCCCCCCCCCTCCCTCCTTTCCCCCTTCATGAAAAACTTGGGAAGTTCTCCCTATACCAAAAATAGAAAGGAAAAGGAAGTTTCAAGCCAACTGAAACCGGATTCAAGAGCAGCAAGCAGTTACAAAGACCAGCAATTCAAATTCAATCAGAAGAAGTCCAGCCTTGATTCGTAACGAAATTTCTCGCTTGCGTCAAAGGCTTCCATTTGACAGAGAAAAAAGGAGGGAAGTTTTGTGGAGAGTCTGATAACAATTAGTGGTACCGATCAAACCGCTAATAGAAGGAAAAACAACACTAATTCTAATTGATCAATTCGATTGTGAATACGGAAATCCACAGTGCAGTTCATTTTTGCAAAATATATAGTAAGCAGATAAGAAATAATCCGAAGTTATTGATAATTGATAAATTGACTTGTCTAATTCTTTCCCCTTGAGCAAAGATAGGAAAAAGACACGGAAAGATTAGTAGAAAGTGTTGTTTCGTTCCCGTCCCGAGAAAAGTCATTCATTAATCTTCCTTTATTCACCTGGCTTTAGCTAATGCGAAAGTAATCAGAATGAATAGCGCAAAACTCAATAATAGCTCCCCCCCCCCTCCCCCCCCCCCATCGCGTAAACGTATCATCTGCTAACAGTAGGGATAGGATGTTGGAAGAAATTTCAGTATGATTTAAAATTATATGATTGTCTATTCGAAATTAAGCAACAAGTTGAAAAACCTTCTAAATCATTGGAAGCAGCTTACTCAATCATGGTGGGTTACCGTGACCCCAACTTTCCGAAACTAGCAACATTTGCTTGAATTATCTCAATCATTTCTTTCGATGTGCTATAATGTTATTATTATGCTATTATGTTCGGTTTTCGATTCGCAGCCTATACATAAATGGCTTTCTTGTCACGATTTTGCTTTTTTCCGTTTGTCCAGAAGGAGCGAACGGCTTTCCTTGCTAATGCGTGCAATTACACATTCTCAAGTTTGCTTATGAGACCCAAACATGGCTTTCTATTGCTTTATCTCCGTTTCATGGGCACAAGCACTTTCGAATGTGCACTTTTTAATTGAAAAGATTATCCCCATTGGCAAGCACCATATTTGATCCGCTTGATCCGCTTCATCATTGGTCAATTCAGTGAGCTGACCAATAGTGAAGTGGATGAAGTGGATTGAGTGGACAACCGCTTTGCTATTGGACATAGTGAATTGACCAATGACGAAGTCGATCAAGTGGATTACGCGGATCAAGTATGGCGCGTGATTGTTAAACTTTAAAAAATCGTGTAATTGCACTCTTTAGAGAAGAAAGCACCCAAATGTAGAGTATAAGGTTTACCGAAATTGCACAATTGCAAACAGTGAGGAGCTGGAGGCTCACCCATTTATTAGGGTGAATAAGTGGCATGCACAAGCAAATATGACAAATGGTTCGAAAAATGTTTAGAGATACGTGCAGATTTGGATAATTCGTTTTTTTTGTCATGACAAATCTTCTATTCGTTAAATAGTCCAGTCGAGACAAAAGTGAGACACCAAAAGACCTCTAGATCAGAATTGTAAGTATTAGGGTGTCCCATGATTTTTTACCGTTTTTACCCTAAACAACAACATTTCTCGAGAAATGGGGCACCTTTAAAGTTTACAAATACATGATCGTACTTCTGTATGTATGAGTTAT